CTGGTTCTGAATTTAAGTGTTCAGCCCCAGCTCATCCATGTTAGTTTTCTGAATTTGCTTTACATACAGGCTCTTCTAGATCCTGAAGGAACTTGGTGACTCTAGCCTGTGTTTGTGGTCCTAATCTCACATTTAAGGATAGAAATAGGGAGGTTTACACCGAGGCACATGGGCCATGACACTCAGCACTCAGGTCTCCGTGCTGGATGTGGGTGTCTCAGTTCCCAAGCAGTGAAGGTGAAGGTGCAGTCAGTGTGGTGGAATCCAGAGAGTCTCTCAGCTCACCCTGCAGCAGCACCCTGCTCTACACAGGGGAATTTCTTTCTGGTTCCTATTCATTATATTGTCATGTGATATAATTCAGCTAATTGAACATCGGTGCCTGATGGTATTTGGGCTGCCTGATGATGTCCTGCCATTCCAAAGTTGAGTCTCCAATACTTCCACTGTCAAATTTGGCAGTCTTAGGATAACTTAAACGGCCTCAAGTAACTACTGGGAAACTGGACTGGGTTCGCTGTGACTTTTGCTTTCACCAGAAATTATTTTATTTTATGTTCCTTCTCCCTCAAGTGTAGTTCAAAGTTTATTCAGCAGATATAATTTAATTTTGCCTTGTAGTTAGGAATGCACCTAACTCAGGACATTGGTACCAGGGTGACCAAAGCTAAGAAAAATTCTTTACCTTTGTTTCATCTGCACTGTACAAACGTTCTTTTAAGGAGACTTAAAGTTCAATAACTGCTTAGTACTTGGTGTCTGAGCTGATATTTTGATCAGACTTAGCCTTTGCTCCTTAACAGAGAGACACAAGTTTCTATGTTTACAAACATAACAGTGTATAAAAACAGCATATCTTTTGCAAGCAACTAATATTCAAGAACTAATATTCAATTCATTTTGTTCCTTTAAGCTTTATTATATTTTAAAATGAGATTGGCCATTGACAAGTTTTTTTTAATCAGCATTTGGGCAAATGAGAGAAAAGATTGGGAATCATTCCCTACCACATGGCTTTTGCCTGGAAAGGACCAAATCTCTAAACTACCTTGCACCAAACATCTCTAGCTTGCTTGTTTGCTTTGGTAGCATATGTCTCCAAATTTGCAAGACAGTGAAACATCAAGGTTGTCTTTGGTGACTGGATAGCTGTAATCTATGAACTTATCATAATTTTAGGTTTGTGTTGTGCCTACTTAAACAGATATAAATGGAAATAAGGCATTAAGAAAGAAGCTGAATGCTTTGGCCAGACTTGTTAATGTATATAGTCATTTATTTATTATTTATTTATTCATTTATTTCAGATGGTAAGGAATTTGATGCATTTGTATCCTATGCAAAACTAAACTCTTCTGAAAGTGGCTCTGCTTTAATTAGTGAGGAAAAATTTGCCCTGGAGCTTCTTCCAGATATGCTAGAAAATAAATATGGATACAAGTTATGTATTCTTGAAAGAGACATTCTTCCGGGAGGAGGTAAGTTCCCTGGGCATGATAGAAAATCTTCAGTTTTTATAAAATTGTGTTTCACTTTCAAAAAATCCCCTTTGTGCACCAGAGCAACAAATTGTATAATTAGGTAGTGGAATTTATGTTCAAACCTCATAATGTTTTTATCTTTGTGTCTAGTCCCTGAGCCTGATGCACACATACTTTGGAGTGAGGTGACTGTGAGCTGCTAGGCTGAGACAAAGCTTCTTGTGCAAGAATTTCTTTGCAAGCAGACTCCTTTCCCTGGAAAGACTACAAATATTCCAGTAGTTACTTTCTGAGCAACTTTAGCCAGTGCTACCCCAGTAATCAGAAAGTTCTGTGGGAGAGATGAAGACAAGTCCAAGTGTCCCTTGAGACCCTGCTGAAGTGTGCTGGGGTCTCAGCTGTGCCCTTCATGTCCTGAGCAGAAAGTTGTGTTCTTCAGTTGTATAAGAACAGCCATGGTACCCCCTGATAGCAAACTCATTTCTAGGTGTTGTATCATTACTCAGCATTCCTATTCTTGCCTTTCCTTGTTTCTGGGTTTTAGCTGTTGATTAAGGAAGTGATAAGATAAAAACTCCTTTGCAGAATGCAGTAACTCTCACCATTTCCTTTACAGCCTACACAGATGAAGTTGTAACTGCTATTAAACACAGCAGACGGGTAATAATCATTTTGAGCCCAGCCTATGTCAGTGGACCGAGCATCTTTGAACTGCAGGCAGCAGTGAACTGTGCATTGGAAGATAAAGGGATCAAACTGGTATTAATAAAGTTCCAGGATTTTCAGGAGCCAGAGACTTTGCCTCCAGTAGTGAAGAAAGCCCTTCGGATTTTACCAATTGTTACCTGGAAGTCTTCAAGTTCTGCTGCTCCACACAAGAAGTTCTGGAAATACATGCATTACCACATGCCAATGAAAACTAAGAGGCTGGAAAACTTCAGCCTCAAGGGTTTCTTCCAGAGGTTATTCAGACTGGTATAGATAGGAGAAATTTCACAGGGGTATGACATCAGGCTCAGGAATGGTAACATGATTGTCAAAGACCTCTTCTGTATTGTCTGACAGCTGCCAGCTGTCACTGCAGCCAGCAAGGGCTTGCTCTGGGACAGTCAGAAAGACTGAGGTGTGACAGTGCACAGCAAAACTGTGCCACTGCACATAACTGTAAATATGTGAATATTTAAAAACTGTAAATATCTTCCATAAATTAATATTTTATAACCGTTTCTATTATACAATTTTTTTACTATTTATTATACCATTTTGCTCTGATTTTGAGACATACAATGTTCTTTGCACTGCATTCCTTTCTGGAATACTTTAACACCTGTTTTCTAGAAAAATATTTTTAAAAGAGAACTCCAGAGGAAGCTTGCAGTTTAATTTTCTAATTTTATGATGCAGTCCAGTGGGACATACCCAAATTCTTCAAGTGAGTTACCTCCTCCAGTGGGAACGTCAAGAAAGCACCATGAGAGACAGCTGCAGCTGGGTATGCCAAAGGGATTCAGAAAAGAAGGACCACTCTGTAGGCTTACCCCAGGCATCTCCATCCTTCCTTCAATAAGGGGGAGAATTCAACCAGTTGTAAAACAGTTCACACTCAGGGACACGTGCACCTGATCATTGCTGATCCTGGCTGGTGCTGGTCACTCAATGCCCACTGAACCTGTTGGCACTATGGGCGTGTTGCAGGTGTAAATCAAAGCCCTGATTGTCACAACTAGTAGACTTCCAGGGTCTCTCAAACTTTCCCTTGCAGCCCTCTGGCTGCCAACTCTCCAAACCATCTCGCAGTCTGTGTGTGTGTCTGTAGCTGAGTGAAATGCAATGGTCAGTACTAAGCAATCTGGGTGGTATGGCCTCTTCTCTGTTGTTCTGCTCACTTTATTTGGCCTTCAAGTTAATAAATCCTTGTTTTATAATGCTAATTGAATATCTCATCTGCCAGATTCCTTGTTGGAAAGGGATTCTAAGAAATACTACTGTTAACAGGATCAGTATACTGGAAAAAAAGAACTCTTGCAAGCAGGCTGAGCATTATCTTCCTAATGCTATATTGGGTTCAAAGCTTTTTTGGGAGGACTGATGGTGCTGTGAGGCTGACAGAAGATACTGCTTCATGTAGAAGTGGACCATCAAAGGGCATCACTGACCGTACTGTGGAGTTTTAACTTCTTTTTTGTTAGGCTCAGTATTAAATGTGTGAGACCGTATTTTTTTGTTTGGATTCAGATGTTTTCTAGTTTTATTTATATTACAGTCCCATAAAACTGTGAGTTTTACAGTACTTAAACAAACTAAAAAATGGAGGCGTATCTCTCACTTTACAAGGTTTTTTTAAGGATAAACTGTCTAATTAAGAAATGATACTTATTTTTACTTTTAATTTAATAACTCATGGCTCATAATTTGGACTTTTTAATTTAATTACACAATACCACCCAAACCCATGAAGGAGAAGGATTAGCTTCTGCTCCAAAACTTTTATTTTGTTTTATGTATATTACTTTATTCTAAGACTTTAAACTCTGAGTTTTCTATTATGTGATATTACACACTTCTATTCAACTTACACACTTATAATTTTAGTTCTATAATTTAATTTTAGAATCTTCCTCTACAGCTTCAGGTTAAATGTAGTGCCCTTTTGGGGGTCAGTGCCTGTCAGTGCAGAAAGTCTAAAATTCTCAGTAACTAGGGTTCTAACACTCTACCACAGAGAATTTTGACATTGCAGTCGCACCTGTGTTGGAGATTTGGTTCAGATGATTATAATTTTGATGCAAATTTCCCACTCGTCACCACATGTCACCTTTTGCTTTGCATTATAGGCCATTGCAGTTGCACACACTGGATCCCTTCCACAGGAAGTCAAGTGGAAGATACTCTCTACCCACGACAGGACATTCAGTCTGTGAGGCCAATTGCTTTGAGGGAATCCCCTCCCAAGCATATGCAGTGTGGTTTCAGGGTCCTCAGAACTACTTGTTTTGGGTTATCACATCTGTTCTCACCATCTGCCCTGTCTGCACTGTTTTCTAACACAGTCAAATCATTGATGAATTTGAATAATTTGTCAGTACGTTAAATGCACTCAGTTCTAAGATAAGAAATACAGGTTTTAGAAGCTTCTAATTAACAGCACTATGTTTGCACACCCTGTTATCCTTACACTAAACATGGTAGTTTTTGTGGAGGAGAAAATATGCGGGCATTTAAAAAAATGATCCATAAGAGCAGTTGGAGGAGGATAATGTATTTGCTCAGTAGGCGCCTTACTGGTATGAGTAAAACAAATGCCAAATACAAGACAACCCAAGATCCAATTTCAGGCAGGTGGTGTGACTCAGCCCTCCCTCTTTATGTCGATATTACCTGCTGATTACATACACGTGTTTAAGGGAGGGAGGGAGTCCCTTCCCAAGCCAGGCTGTAATTTGCGCGGTCCCCCACCAGATGTCCCTCCCGGGAGCCCTGCACGGTCCCTTTATTTGCACGCTGGGCAGTTTTGTCACCAGGTGTGACAGGACCAGGGAGCCGTGCCAGGTGTGGTGCCCGGGGTGCCACTTGTGCTGGGGAGGCAGATGGGGAGCGAGGGCAAGAGAGGAAGGCACGAAGCTGGCTCTCCTGCCTGCCCAGGCTGCCACCACCTCTCACAACAGATGCAATTCCCTCGTGCTCTGCTTTCTGCCTGAAAGGTGAGCATTGAAAGCTTTTTTGATTTGTTGGTTTGTTTTTCTGGCTTTTTTTTTTTTTTTTTTTTTTTTTTTTTTTTTTTTTTTTGTGACAGTGGAAAAATCAGAGAGGCTGCATAAATTATGTAGTTGGAAAAGTCCTTTTATTCCTCAACAGGGTAATGCAGTGGCCAAGGTTTTTCTGGGTCAGTGGAACCTGCACAACCGGTATCTTCACAGAAACTCCAGGTCTGTCTGCAGCACAAGGAATGGGACAGGCACATAAGGACTATAAAAAGACCTCTAACAGGCAAATGAAAGAGCCCTGAGGAAGAAGTGGCAGTGGGCAGTGTGAATCACCAGAAGTGACTGTGCACGCCTTCATACACCACTATATGCTAAATCGGTAATAAAATGGTCACAGCCCTAGACATGGGCTTTGCCAGGCTTGCACATGCAAAGCTTTCCAGCGTGCTGCTGCTGCTGTTGAGTGTGGTATCCTGTTCTAATGCTGCTCATGGGGCTGAGCCCAGCCTGGGCAAGAGGTCCTTGCTTCACTATGAACATGAGTCCAGTGGTGCTGTTGACTCTTCTGAAGATATGAGGTTACATGTTTTCACACTGGACTATGACTATGTGCAAATTCCCTATGAAGTTACCCTTTGGATCCTCCTTGCCTCTTTTGCAAAAATAGGTAAGTAGAAAATGGGATCTTGGGGCCTCCTAACTTGGAAAGGAGTTAAAAAAAATACAAGATAACCAAGTAACTTTCATTCATTTTGTAGCTGGGATTGATTTTACTGTGTCTGTCAAAAGAACAGGTGTGTTCGTTACCACAGCAGTGCCAAAATTCCACCTTAGAATGATTCCATCTTACTTAAGTTAACATAAGACCTCTAATCTTCAGGTCTCTTGGGCTCTGAGTAGCAAATAGCAACAGAGCTCCCTGACACAGTGCTGTCCATTCATTTATTTTAGTCCTTATAGATCACAAGATACCAGAATTTGCAACCTGACACAGCTGCAGAAATCAATTACACCAGACTGAGACTTCAAATGTACTGAATTTTGAGGAGAAAGTGTAAAGCATTCTTCCTTTATATGAATAAAAGGAAATATTTCTGAGTCTTTGTTTTACATATTTGCTCCTTGGAGTTGGTGTAAAAAGTAATACTGGGGAGAGAGAACGAGAGTCTCTGAGGGTGTGGATCATCAGAGATGTAGGCTAAGTATCTTTTGAATTCATAGCTCCATATTAGAGCTCCATATGTTATCTGAAAGGAGAAATGCAACTCAGGGAGCAGTAATTGCAGTAGGAACTGGAATTAATATTGCAAAAAAAGGCTCATCATGTCTTATACATTTGCATGGCTGGGCTGAATTAATTTTGACCATTTAGAATTAATGCAGCAATATCAAATAAATGAAGATGGTAATGATGTGAAGAGTTGCACATATAAAATATCCCTTTTCTTTTGAACTTTTTGTGGGATTTTCAAACTCTTCCTTAGGACAAGCTGGTAGGTGAGACGGATGTTTTTCAGGAGGTGGCCTGAAGATAAACATTTTTCCTGTCATAGTCACCCAGCTGACAAAAATCTTTACCACCATACATATTTTGTAAGTTTCATTACAGCTGATGCCCTCAATCCCATTCCTACAAATGTTTTCACTGGTAACATAACAATCAAAATTTTCAAAAATTAAATTTGTTATGGCATCAGCAGAGTGTTTTAGTAATAAACATATCGACCAAATTCTTTATTTATTATCCATAAAGCACAAGACTTGACATATGGCACATCTACACAATATTCTTGCTTTGAACATGAAATAGATACTTTAGAAGAATTGTGTGATGCCTCCCAGGTGGACCTGTTACTTTTACTGTGAGTTTTCAAATAACATTATTTTTGATGAAAAGTGTGGAGCTATTAATTTTAAATACATTTGGAAGAAAGCGTTAGTCTGAATAATCTGGTTACCCAGGGAAGAAGATTTCCAAACTGTTAAAGTTTTCAATGTTTTGTTCAGGTATTATCTTCTTTCTGGATTTCAATATTTAAGGGTGGGAAACAGTTCCAAGATCTTGAAAGGCAAAGCAATCCCCTTATCTGTAAGACTGGAAGAAGACTTAAAAATTATTTTTTAAAGTAAAAAGTAAATGAGTAGAGTTATGATATAAACATACCTCTTAGAAAAAAAAAATAGTTTCCTAAAAAAATTACATTCCTTTGCTTTTGGAAACTGATAGTTCAAGGGCCACAGAAATACTGTCATGGCAGAACCTTCTAGAGTTGCAACATGAAGGCTGACCTAGCTTCAAACATGGAGTCACAGACATTGGACTTAAAGGTTTCTTAGTCTGCATCATTCTCATTCTTGTAAATTTTAAAAAATCCTGTCATTTTTCATACAGGCACATCCCATTCACACTACGATCACACAGCTCTTTGTATAGTGACTGGACAAGCCAGTAGCAGGTGAGCAGTAAGGATCCTTGAAGAATGTTTTCTTTCCAAATTGTGGAGGATCATTTCAAAGAAGTTTCTGCATTTTCAGGACTGGAGCTTAAACTCAGACATGCTTGCTCAGCAATCAAGAGCTGGGCAGCAGGAAGAGAAGAAATTCATGGTCAAACTCTTGCCCTGCTTTAGTGATACAAGTGTGGGAATGTTTAGTTTTGAAGGGAACAGTACTGCCTGTTTTTACCTTCATAATCCTTAGAGCAAAAGCTGCCTGTCTAAAGACAAAGAGTCCAAACACAGGCATGATAATTGTCTGACATCAGGTTAATTTAAACTTAAATAATCCTCTAATGTTTTATTCAAGGTTTCCACATCTTTCACCGGTTACCAAAACTTATGCCTGAAAGCTGCATCCTGATTGCCATTGGAGCACTGGTAGGAGCAATCATCTTTGCTTCCCATCACAAATCTCCACCAGTGATGGACAGTAGTATTTACTTCTTGTATCTCCTCCCACCCATTATTCTGGAGGAGGGTTATTTCATGCCAACTCGACCATTTTTTGAAAACTTTGGATCCATTCTGTGGTGGTCTGTTCTGGGAGCTCTGCTGAGCTCATTTGGGATTGGCCTCTCGCTCTATGGAGTCTGCCAGATCGAAGCCTTTGGCCTGAGTGACCTGAGCCTGCTGCAGAACTTGCTCTTTGGCAGCATGATTTCAGCAGTGGACCCCGTGGCAGCGCTGGTGGTTTTTGAAGAAGCCTCCGTTAACGAGCAGCTTTACATGATGATCTTTGGAGAGTCACTGCTGAATGATGGCATAACTGTGGTGAGTTTGTTTCTGCTCCTTGTCTTCCCCTCTTTGGACTCTTTTGGCTTCTAGGGTTACTGGGCACAGGACAAGAACATAGGAGATCCTAATACATTGTTTACTTTATGAATACTTCACTCAGTTACACACAGGGGATTTTCATGCATGCAAAAATTACACCTTAGATTACCTCTTTCCAAAGCATGTATTTTAGAGCTGCTGGAAGAGGGAAACCTCCACATACATGTGAGATGTGCTGTTGCATTCCCTGAAGTGAATGGATAAGCTATAGCTGATTTTTCTGGTCAGATCAGTGTAGGACCTTGGAATGTTCTTGACATTGTGCAAGCAAATAAACAGAAAATTGTACTGCTTAAAGACTGAAGGCAGCAAGGGTAGAAATACAGGAGATCCTGCCTTGTCATATACCTGAGGGGGTCCTCTGAAAAAAAAAAAAAAAAGAAAAGCAAACCAGATGTGGATAATCTCCGGGGCCACACTCTGTCCTCCAGCCCCTTCCAGAAATTTCACCAGAGACCTTAGACAGGAATTCCAAATGCCACTAAGAACTTCGCATAATTCTGTTTCTATCAATAAAAAATATTGACATCTGACAAATGTTTAAATTTTTTGGCTGTCTTGTCATAAATATCCAGAAACAATGTTTCCTGAATAAGAAAGATTTGGTTGGTTGGTTGTGTGTTTGCTGTTGTTGATTTTTTGTTTTTAATAAGAGTGTTTTTTTTAAGCTCCTTTTGATAATATTTTCCCCCTTATCTCATTAGTTCTGCTAAAATTGGAGCAACCTGAAATTCTAGCTGTAAGCAGAAATGACAAGAACATTTAAAACATATGTTTTTCAAGGAAGAAATTTCAAGCAGGAAGTTTATTGCTCAGAAACCAACAGGACTGCTCATGTGGTACAAGTTAACAGCAGGTTAAGGAGTTTCACTAGATAAGATCTTTACAGAATTTAAATCACAGGAATCTAAAACACATAAAAACTATTCAGATACTGCTATACATGAGGTACAGCCCAACTGGGACTTGTAAAATCTGTACAGAGTTCACTGCTGAAAGGCTTCATGGGAGAAGTGCAGTTTGCCAGTACTGAGAAAAGCAAAAGGAGCAAAGTAACTTGCAGGCACAGCCTAAGGATCATAAATCCTTCCTTTAGGTGAGCAGAGATACAGGGCTGATGTAGAACTCAGGGACAAGCGTTATTTCATTTATGTTCAAATTACTTGTGTGCTACAGTAGTAACAAAAATCCCCAAGGAATCTATCTCTTACACTTGTCTTTTTGGTTCCTTCAAATACTGACCTCAAAAATCTAATGCCTCTTTTTCACACTGGAAGAGCTTGTTTCATGCTTTTGTTGATGGGCTCACGACCTTGCCTTTGCTTTTCTCCCAGCTATCTATCATGTGGGTCGAACTCCTGCTGGTATTTACCTGAGCTTCCAGTCAGGATCCTGTTACCGTACAGATGTGCAGTGACAGAAAGCCTGTTAAAACAGTGGATTTAGGCACTCCTCAGCAGCCCTGGGTGTGTTAGTAAAGGAGATTAAAGGGCTGTACATGGGGTATGTTGGGTGCACCGCTGAGAGTTCCCATTGCCCCACACTCCCATCTTTGGGGCTCAGAGCAGCTGTGTTGCCATCACTTTGTCAGCTACTGCATCTCTGCATCAGCCGCCATTCACCCCCTTTCTGGGCATTTGGGCTTTCAAAATCTCTACCTGGCTTCATGCTCAAGGAGACTGAAGTATTTGTCACCTGAGTGGAGACTGTCTGCTTTCTGATATCCCACCTACTTTTTTCCAAGACTTTAAAACTACTTATCTCAGGTGTCTTCTCTTACCTTTTCCTTCTATTTCTCTCTTAACAGTTTCATTTGAGTTAACTCTAAGTGTTTGAAGAAGATAATATCACCAAGATATATTAAGCATACATATTTTTTTATTGTTTAAATACAAATATCCCCTGGTATTCTCCAGCCTGCTTATCAGCTTGAACATTTTTTTTCACCAGCAGGAAAAACTAGTATGAGTTTTGTTCAACTTGTGTAATACATGTGGGGCAACAATAGCTTTGTCTCCTATATTTAGTTCAATATTCTGGTATATGAAAAATATTTCAAAATAACAGACATTAGAATTATAATCTAGAAGTTATGACTTTGCCTTAAGGGAGTGGGAGAAAATGGATGATTTACTCATTTTACCCATTGGTACCCTTTTTCTTCAGTAGGGCCATGTATGTGGATGGAAAAAAGAAGGTTCCAAGTGCTGTTAATTACTTCTTTTCCCAATTATTTCTGAGTGGGCTGCTAGCATCAGAATTGTTCAGACAACATCAGGGCTGGACCTAGGATACATCATACATTAGTGGAATTTCAAAGCCCTGTTCAAAAAGAGTGTTGTAAATCCAATGCAGATCTCATTCAAGACTGAACTCTGGTGGAATGCCCTGATTTTGCTGTGAAGAGTTTCAGCCATCTGAAGCTCTTTTCCCACATATACACAGACAATTTTGTTTCTAAACAGGAGCTGAGCCGTGGGTATGAATCAGGAACTGGAATATTCCCTGACTGCTTCATCTCTGAGGCTTGATTTTAGAAATACTGGGAACACCTATATGTCATGCTGTACTCAAAATGGGTGGCACTGGCAGTATTCTATAATGGAGCACTCTTTTCTTCGTAAGCAGCAGAACAGTTAAATCTAATACATGTTGAAGACCTAAGTAAAATTATTATTTGAGGAGATTTGAAATTGCCTCTGATGTCACTGAGAAAGACCTTGATCACTAGTTTGGATGCTAGATAGAAGGATAGAGATATTCTCTTCTCTTCTCTTGCTGTAAAAGTTGTTCCACTGCCATTAGAGTAAAACCAACTACAATAGTCAGAAAGAATTAGCAGGGTGGTAAGAAAGAATTATCAAGACAGCCTGTGTTGGTGGTTAAGGCAGTCACTTGAAAATCTCTTCTTCCAATGCTTCTGGTGAGGATTGTGTGTGCAGTGATAATACACAGACACCTGGAGTATGGAGCAGTCCCTGGGGAGTCCCCTGTGGCAGCAGTGTCATGTTCTCTGTTCCTCTCTGTGGTTCTGAGAGCTGCCCAGTGGTACAAAATCCTCTCCAAGCAACCCAAATCATGATGTTCTCAGGGCTGCTACATGAGACCACTATCAATCCATTTCTTCTTCTTTTTGTGTGAACAAAAGCCTCCTAATCTGATTCAGGCTTTCCTAATATATAAAGAATTCTAGTAATCCATTTACCAGCATAAACACTGCAATGTAACTTAGCTGAGCCTTCCTTATATGGCACAGTGCAGGTTGTGATACAGAACAGTTTACTCCAACAAAGCATGTTACAAAAAAAAAAAAAAAAAAAAAAAATTGTCATATTTCCATAACTTTCATTTTTATGCCAAATCAGTTAAATCATATGGATACTTTAGGAACTAGAAAAGTGAAAAAAAATTCTTAAGTCATTTGCTGAGAATCTTTCTTCGTAAGTTAGCATAGAATCATGCTGTGGTATCATTTATAAAGAATCACAAGTCTTAGGAGGAGGTCAAAGTCTACAAGAAAGGGAAACAAAGAGAAAACAGGCTCTGAAATTAAAAGCTATAGGGTAGGTAGGGTGAGGTTTGCTTACTGTGAAAACATGAACCTTCTTTTCCTTATCTGCTGCTGAAGTGACAAATTTCATACACTGGCATTAGGAAAAAGGAGTCCTGGGTATTTTCTTAAAAGAAATATTTTGTCAGGCTTTGTCTGTCTCCCAGAGCTATTAGCAGTGAGCCTCCTGGAGAACAGACTGTGTGACAGCTCAAGGTTATATGTCCCCAGCAGCAATTTAAGATTGGATAGTAGCTGAGCAATAATTATTATCCTAATGAGCTTGACTCTTCTACCTGCAAATACCTGCTTTAGTCTTCTTAATAACCTTCTGGAATTAACTAGATGAAGAAGAAAGACTAAAGAAAACCATAAAATGCAAATGACTTTGGTCTATTTATTGTTTTCCAACTAATGCTTTAGTGCAACAGCTTTGGAGAGCTGGTGTCTAGTTATTTCCCAAATTCTCTTCAAAAATGAAAGGTGACTTTCATGTGTTACACACTCACTGTAAACAGATCTGACAGGACTTAATATCAACTGATTGTCAGCAACCTCTAAGGCTTTTTTATTACTACACCACTCTGAAAATTTTCTATTTGTTTCTAAAAGATGAATGAAAGTGGAATTTGCTGAAAATTTTTCATTAACAGTTTCTGAAGAATAGAAATTATTGATAATAGAAGTTTGGTGAAGTTTTCTTCTCTAAGATATTATCTTTTCAGACCAAAGTATATAATACATTATATAAAATTATAATTGGCATTAAATTGAATCTTTCTTCTAATCTGATATTTTCTTTTGATTTTAACAATTTCAAGATTTCTAGTCAAAATGTGTATATGTGCAGGGTCTTTAGAACATTTAGAGAGTCACAGCATTTCATTCCTACTTTGAGGTGGTTAAGTAGCACCAAACTCCAAATATGTCATGATAGAGAGGCTTTTTTTACCTAGCTAGAGAATGAAACTGAGGTTAACATCTTCCTTTCCCAGTCCCATTCTCAGTGATGTTTCATGATTTTTATGCATCAAGTGCTGCTGAAAAACGTGTAACATTACCATGTCCATCTGATGAAGTTTGTCAAGTCTACTGACTGATCCCAGAGACAAGCTAAATGGGATTTAAATCAAATATGTGACTCTTAGTCCCTGCCCTGCCCCAGCCTGAGTCAGAAGGAGAACATGGAGGATAGAGCCTCCATGGTTTCTAAGGTACCCAGATGAGCTTTTAACCTCTTCTACAAAGACCAAAAATTAAATTAACTGTCAAACAGACCAAGAAAAGAGAGTTTGCCAGTCTCTTACTACTAAGAGTAAAATACTGGGGGGCCACACGCCATTAAGTAATTTTTATTCCACAGCCATTTACCCTTTTTTTTTTTTTTTTTTTTTTTTTTTTTCTCTTTTTCAGGACACTTAATGAATTCTTATTTCTGAGACTTGTTAAGAACCATCTCAAATTCCAATTGTTACTTTGCTGATCTGTCTAAAGCAATTTCTGGCACACACAGACACTGTTTTGCCTGTCAAATAGGTGCCAGGTTCAGAAAAGATGCCCAACTGCTGTTTTCTTATTTTCACGTGTAGGTTTTATACAACATCTTCATCGCCTTCACCCAGATGCACAGGTATGAAGAAATTGAGTCCATCGATGTCTTTGCTGGCTTTGCTCGCTTCTTCGTGGTGGGGCTGGGTGGAGTCTTGTTTGGCATCGTGTTTGGATTTGTCTCAGCATTCATGACTCGTTTCACCCGCAACGTCTCTTCCATCGAACCCCTGCTGGTCTTCATGTTCAGCTACCTCTCATACTTGTCTGCTGAAACCCTTTACATCTCTGGCATTTTGGCGTGAGTATTCCTTACGGCTTTTTGGATGCTGTCTTTGAGGAACTGGTGCTGTTTTGTGATGGTTTGCTCAAGGTTGGTGCAACACAGGCATTCAGTCTCTGGCTTAGAGAGGCAGTGCACAGCTTCTTAGAGATCTGTAAAATGCACTGGTGACTAGGACAAGCAAAGCCACAGTCAGCATAGGCACAGATAATTCTACCGAGGGATGTTGGCAAAAGTACTGCAGGTTGTGGATAGAGTGGGCAGTGCTGCCACCATCTGTCTGCTATCTCTGATAAAATCAGCAGAAGAGAATGATTTGATGCTACAGCAGTTTATCTGTATTTATTTCTAAGCAGCTTCACCATCAGACTCTAAGAGAGATATAAAGCGATGGCTATGGAAAATATAAGAAAGCACATCTGAGTTCTTTGTGAACTTCAGCCCTAACACCATTCACTGGAATTATATTACATTTGAATTGCATCACTGGGATTGAAACTGGGGCAAAAACAGGTGAAAGAGAACATCACCTACACATACATACTTATAGTCATGTATATGAATATTGCAATTCTTTGTTTTTTGTGGTCAGGATAGCTTGATACTGCTGTAATACTGGGGACATGTTCCTCAAAGTATGTGATGGTGTGGGTGCCTGCTGCAGAGAGAAAGCTTTAGGTTCTTGACTGGAGTAAATGCAGGAATGGTGAGAATTGTGGGAAGGAAAGGATGGCAGCAGGAAAGGAGCTGGAAGAGGAAGGAGTAGGGATGGAAGTGAGAGACTTAAGGAGAAAGCTGCTGGCAAGTGGCTTGCAAGGATACCCCCCAAACCAGCCCACCTGCAGGGTGCAGCATAGGGAGATGGAGACCTCCTGTTGCCAAATGCTCCAGCTGGTGCTGCTGGCTGCTGCAGGCTCAGCGCACAGCTGGTGGATGGCAGCAGCTTTGCATGGCCTCTGCTGGCTCTGAGCTTTCGTGATGGGCCTTGGGTGACCTTGTGTTGCAGAAAGTGCTTCCCTTTGTAGAGGGCAAACCAGTTTAAACTTAACAAATACAAACATACGGCTGCTGATGTCCAGACAGGGGCATTTATCCACCTCACCTTGTGAAGCTCTGATTTCACAGAATCACAGAATGGTTTTGGTTGGAAGGGACATTTAAAAGCCATCTAGCCAATGTCCTGGCAATGAGCAGGGACATCTTCAGCTAGATCAGGTTGCTCAGAGCCCCATCCAAACTGGCCTTGAATATTTTCACAGGTGGGATGTCTGCCACCATTCTAAGCAACTTCAGTGCTTCACCACTCTCATTGTAAAATGGTTATTCCTTACATCTAGTCTAAATCTACCTAAATCTTTTAGTCTAAAACTATTATCCCCTGTCATGTGGCAATAGGTGCTACTAACGAGTTTGTCCCCATGTTTCTTATAGGCCTCTTTTAAATGTCAAAATATTGAAATAAGGTGTTCCTGAAGCCTCTCTTCTCCAGGCTGCAGAACCCTGGGTTAATCAGCTTCAGAGCAGAATTGCCTTTATAAAAATAACCTTTGCAGGATGGTCCTGGGAAACAGTATTTGAATATTTAAACATATTAAATAAGTAGTTAGACTGGATATAGATTATCTTGAGCAATTAGACAAAGCAGATGAGTCTTGTGCTGTGTTTTGTATACCCGACACAAATGCTCAGATTGAGCTGACTGGCAACTTTAGTTCAGCAGGATTAGATGTACAGTGCAGTGAACAGTAAAACCATATGGACTTCTTCCTACCTGCACTGACCAAAACACTGCTTCCCCACCTACTCCTTGCACAAGACTACATAGTTCTTAATTTCTTTCACTTCTTATTTTCATTAGAGTTCTGAAATTATTAGTAATTTAAGAATGGTAATATAATTTGGATTTATTATTCTTACTGCTTCATTAAGGAAATTATTGCTTGTTTTAGAGATGGAAACTTATTGCCACCTTTCTGAATTATTGAGGATTCATTCATTTTTCACTTGGATCATGAAAGTCTATTATGTATGTGTATCTGAAAGTCAACAGTATTAATCATTAATGCCTAATGGCCTTGTCTTGGAGTGTCCTTGGACATGCTAAATGACTCAGCTTCACCAGGATACCCTTGAGATTTCTTCAGTGGAAATTAAATGAACTGAAACTAGAGGAAGGTTATCTAATGAACAGTCATCATTCTCTGAATTCACAAGTTTGGAAAAATATCATTACAAGAGGCCCCCAGAGACTAAAATCACATCAGTAGAAACAAGATAGGTGATGGAATATGTTACTAGCATAGCACTCAATCTGTGTGTTACCTATGGAAAATGCAGAGGGGAAAAGGAAATCCCCTTCAGCAGGGCTGATCAAAGACTGCTGCTCCATGTGATCGTCACCAGCATCTGTGCTGGGTGGCTGCTGATGCCTCTGACACAGGCTCTAGTCTTCATTAACAGTCATGCAAATCATCCCTTTGCCTTCTTAGGCACATTCCACACACCCTAGGTAACTACAGGGAGGAGGACACCTCTGTAGGATAATTGAATTTTCTCCCGCTGTGCCAAAATGGGCTGCTGTGCTTGGAGAGTCCTGCAGCTTGCCCTGGCACTGCTGATCTGCCAGGGAGCCATGGCAGCTTTGGCCCTGGCACGGGGCTGCCATGATCTGCACCGCCACCTCAAGGGACAATGTCACCCAGGGGCAGGTTATGTCCCTCTAACTGATCCACCTGTAGGCTGGTACAGAACCGGCCTGCCCGTTGTTTGAGACAAATATTTGGCGCTTGGTGGCTCCATGTTAGGCATTCAGGATAAAATGGACTTTGAGCTGGAATGTGATACCCTCCCTTCCTTGTCAGAAAGGCCGACTGGTTTGCTTCCTTTATCCTATAAGTAAAACAGATTTGTAAACGTGAATGAAGATCCTTTTCTAGCTAATGAAATAGCTAATGTTACTGGAGAAATAAAATGCTTGTTTTGATGAAGGTCAGAACCTGGTGGTGGAGAGTACAGGTAATGATGGCTGATGCTGTCCTTAACTGAAAAGAAGAACAGGTTGTGGCTGATCTCTGATGTTTTGCTTGGTACAGGATGACAGCATGTGCAGTGACAATGAAAAAATACGTGGAGGAGAATGTTTCCCAGAATTCTTACACCACAATAAAATATTTCATGAAGATGCTAAGCAGCATCAGTGAGACTCTGATTTTTGTGTTCATGGGAGTGTCTACAGTGGGGAAGAACCATGAATGGAACTGGGCCTTCATTTGTTTCACTCTGTTCTTCTGCCTCACTTGGCGGGTGCTGAGTAAGTAAACTCTTGCAGACAACCTTCTCTGCATCTATGAGAAAAAAATCTTTGGCACAAAATTCTGTTAGAAAAGTCTGTGGGGACCGGCACAACTGCTTAAACAACAAATTTACTAGTTCATATTAGTGACAAGTAAATTTCACACATCTAGACACAGAAAAAGAGGAAAAAAGCTCCACACAAATCTGAATGCCAGTCTCCAAGCACAGACTTTACATTTAGGTGAAAATTGATTTTTTTTAAAGCAAAATTAAAATATTGCCATGATTACACTTATAGAGATGTTTATGTCTTTACTTACTATATGCCCTTTGGGTAAGAGGGCCTCATAATGATTTCACAACACGCTGTCATTAACTTAATAATTAGGTAATGTTTATCATCAGACTTCCAGTGCTACAGCACTACAGGTCCTGGGCTGGGAGTGCTGGAGGCATAGGAAAAGAGGGAAGGTGAAAATCAGCACTGATAGATAACTGAACAGGGATTTATACCACATGTGGGCCAACAACACTATGCTACTACTCCTCACAAGTCAAGTCGAAAGTTTTAAACTGCTAAAAAGTAGTGCTCATATGAAATTACTCCATTTTTGCACATGGTATGTCCCATTCCTGCAAAGGTGTCCTACTCCCTGACCTGTGGGACAGATTCCTCTAGCATGGTCAGGGCAGTTCATAGATGATGTCAGACAAGTTGTGAGACAGTTTCTCATCTTCTCCTAATGTCCAGGATGGGTTGGCAGTAATGCTGAAAAGGGAGAGGGAATAAGAAGGCTGGTGGTTGGTGTTCTGGAGGTGCTAGCAAAAAGGAAGTAATTACATATTTTCTTGCTGTACCTGGACCAAGTGTGGCGTCTGAATTTTTAAAGGCTCGCTTTCCATTTTGAAATATCCTTCTAATTAAGACAGAAACAATGCTCTCCTGATATAAAAGCTGTTTTCCAGCCTCATGTCCATCCTTCTCTCAGACACCAAGGGGAGTGCTAGAGCTTTCCAGAGGAAGGACAAAACACTTTCTGCTACATTTGTGTGTTAAAATGATTACATCATTTTCTCTGAAGCTTGAATAAAGTAAAGAGATGTGGCCTGAGGTTGATACCTCACATAGGCTGTTTCACTCTGAGTACCTGATGCCTAGCATTATAAGTAGTCAAAAAAGGTCTTGCATAAAGTGATATCCAGCAACCTACATAAGAGGATGCTGTTACCTCTAATAATCTGTGTATCAGTGACAGCTGTGTAAAATAACACCAGTTATCAGCATTTGCGAGCTTTTTTGTCAGTAAATTAATGGTTTGCACATAAAACAGGATTTATATTTATTGTGGAGGATGAAGTAAAACAAATTGTTAAAATTACACTATAAAGACAAGTTGCAGTCCTTACATAGCCACAGATTATCTTATTAATTTTAAATTTTATTAGAAGTAAAATTAAGTTTGAGAAATAAACAAATAATTAGAGACACAATAAGCCCAAGGATTAAAATTTTAAATGCTATTATTCTTTGTCTTTCAGTGAGCCTGTCCACAGGACTTGTTGGTAAAGCACTGTTCAAACACTTTAGGCAGATACTGTACAGAAAGCAGGACACATTGCAAAGGAAGGCACAGAGAAAACTCTCATCCAGTTGTTTTTCTTTTCCTCAGAACACTTTGGAGGAAACTATGCAACATAAGTATAGGAAGTTAATATTTTCCCTAATCTCTCTTCTAAACTGTGTTAATGAATTTAAATCCTGAAGCTGTTAGGAACTCCAGTATTTAATAGGAGATATTTCACACAAGCCAAATTTAGCAGTTGGTCAAAGAGAAGCTACAAGAAACAAAAAGAGAAAAAAACATGGGTTGTCAACAGTTCCCCAAAACAGCAATTGTTTTGCTTTTAATATTTTCTTTTTCTCCTTGATTAATAATACCTGTGGGGTTTTTCCCCCTTCCTAGGTGTGTTTGCTCTCTTCTACGTCAGTAACAAGTTCCGAACATATCCCTTCACCTTCAAAGACCAACTCATCATTTCTTACAGTGGCCTCCGAGGAGCCAGCAGCTTTTCTCTTGCATTCTTGCTTCCAGTGAATCTTTTCCCCAGAAAAAAACTATTCATCACTGCTACCATTGTGGTTATATATTTCACTGTGTTCATCCAAGTATGTATATTTCTTAATGGATAACTTTCATGTACTAGAGGTGACTGAAAGCTTCCTAGTGAAAATAGCATTGGTACTGGTACTTCCAATTTAAGAAGTCTTTTAGCTTTACCTTTCAGTACTGATTCATTCTTTGTTCGTGGTGTATCTCAAACTGACCAGAAAACAGTATGTCTGTCCTGTGACAGATTTTGAATTTTATACTTTTATCTTTGTCTGTCTTAGAGACCAAATACAAATATTTTGAAATGCTTTGCAAAAGAATATTTAAAAAATGAAGTGAATAAGTCACATTTGTAAGTATAGGTGTCTACTTTAGATATTTGAGTTATTTCACCTTGCTTACTGCTGTACCTGGAAGAACTGAAACTTCTAGAGAACTCTGCATCCCATATTTTGCATTTTCCAATACCAAAGTCTCAGATCCTCTAGGGTGCCAATGGGGCACTATGCACTTGTGATAAGTAAGGTGCTTAGGTTCCACCAGAACATTTCAGGAAAAAAACAATTTGTTTCTATTTCTACTTTTAAAATTGTTTTCTATAGCAGTGCAGTAAGGAAATGGGAAAAAATGAAAACCATTTCTAAGTGAAAAAACCCTGGAATGTTTAATTCTGAAAATATTGAAGTAAATGGTTTTAAGACTTCAAGACCTCACAAAGATAATATTTTCTTTCAAATGAATCCTCTTTTGAAGATGATTGCCAATGAGTCAGTTACTTTACATTACAATATGCTAATAAATAGAATCTCACTTAAAAAAAGACCTTCAGAATTTTTTTTTATTTTAAATTCTCTTCTGTAGCTCTCCATACAAATAATGGTTCATTTCTGTGCTAAGACAGAGCTTTCCTAACTGATTAAAATTATCCCCTTTTGCCTTCTTTCTATTTTTGTCTAAAAGATAATTAACAATTCAACTCATTATTCCAAATACAGGGAATCACAATTGGACCTTTGGTCAGATATCTGGATGTTAAAAAGACGAACAAAAAAGAATCTATCAATGAAGAAATTCACGTGCGAGTAAGTTTTTTATATCAGTAACCCAAAAAGAAAAGAACAGGTATTCTGAAAGAGCTGGAAAGAGGGAGGCACTTGGAGACCTGGCATTGAGTGCATTTGGATGCTCAGTGCTTTTAAGAATGTATGGAGGCAACTTAGGCATGATTTTCTAAGATCTTGCATCTCATTTATGTTCATATTTACTATCATATTATATTATCATCCACAAGTGTCATGGTGTATTAGGTCCTTTATTCATTGGCACTTTGATCATGGCAGGACAGAAAGAGAAAGGTAATGTTTATCAAAGTACTCACCATCCTTCCTAGATGGATTAGTCAGAAACCCTTGTTGCCATCTTTTGACCAGTTCTAGACACTGAAGTCTTAAAAGTCTTTAATCCAGATCTATTGAACTGAGTTGAACCATTGAGCTGCAAACTTAGTTTCCATTTATTCTGGGTAGTGATCTTTTATCCTCTCAAACATTTACTTCAGTTCCCAAATTACTATTATATAAAATCACAGGAAGCTGTTCAATCTGATTTAACATTACAGAAAACCTATGTACATTCTTTCATTTCACAATAGGGAATACATTTGAAATCAAGAGAAACACTGTGTCTTGAAATGAAACAAACACACAGATGTAAGCTGAAGAGATATTAGCAAAATTAGAACATAGAACTGATTTTGAGTTTAAAGAGAAATTAATTCTTCCTATCTGAACATTTATAATGAACCTTAAAGAGAACTTGCATTTTAAAGTGCCCTTTATGACAATATGTCTGTAAGAATTGGCCTTTTTCTGTCTCTATGGTGCTGGATAAACACAAAAAAGGACTGAAAGTAACAGAAGGTAGCAGTAAGCAGTCTCATGTCATTCTGCAAAATCCTCAGAGAATTTATCTGTCAAGGTGAAGGTGTTGGTATGTGGCCCTGTGCCTCTCCCAGGAAGGCCATGCATGAGGAGGGGAAACAAAACCAAGAATTTATATTTTGGGTTCAGTAGACAAAAAGGACCCAAAAATTTTTTGCTTCCATCAAAACACTTTCAATGCAGCCAAGCATCCGCAGTGGCATCTTTGCCTTGATTTTTAGAAAAATGTAGATGCTTTGAGAATTAACTCACAAACTCCAGTAAAACGATAAATCTCAAAATCATGTCAATAAGTGCAGATTTGTGGTAACATTTCATAAGGAACACATGGACATTTCATAATGGTCACTTACAATGTTTCCATGTTTTTTTCTGTAGTTGATGGATCACTTAAAGGCTGGTATTGAAGACATATGTGGACATTGGAGTCATTATCAGCTGAGAGATAAGTAAGTATGTCTTATTGCAGTCTAATATAATAAAATAACCTATCTATCAAGTAAAATATAGTAGGTAAATAGAAGAGGAAATCAAAATGCTGTGGTCATGTGCCATATCTCTTTGTAGAAACTGAACTCCTGAGTAACCATTAACTCTTGAGAGTGCAGTGCTCATACATTGCCTGCTAAATTGGATCTGCACAAGCAGAAAATAAGCCTTCCGAAAGAAAAACATAGCATGGGAACTCACGCTGCAGACATCAAACTGTGCATAGCCTTGGTATAAATCTGAGATACCAGGAAACACTTCTTTAACTCTGGATTTAGAACATAAGCTGCACATGGTCTCAGTGCTTTGATGGCTTTTGTTGCGAGCCTCCACAGCAAAAAGGATCCCTTGCTGGTAGTAGAGAATCAGTAATAATTAGTCATCTGTCCTTACAGGTCTTTGCATTCAGTAACATCTAAAATAAGCGTGCTGAAGGAGTGTTTGAATTTCAACAGCCAGTAGCATAAGCAGAGCTAGTCTTTACTCAGAAATGCAGGTCCCACGTTGTCCCTTCCATCAGCAGTGTGAGGTGGTTTTGTGAAGCTCTGCAGCTCTTCCAAACTCTGCCAGAAGTGACAGATCTCCTGTTTCCTTTAAGTTTTCCCTAAGGGAGTCCCGTGGACATGTTGGCCACCACCACAGCATGTGAAGGCAAGTAGGGAAAAGACTGATTTTTCTTTCCCCCCAAACATCTTATTATGATGCTGTGGGATAAAAGTTATCCCTAGTTCTGCCTAGGCTTCTGTGCTGGAATCTTGTCTGACTTTCAGTGTTGGACTCCAGTAATCCAGCCAAGGGTGTCTGCTGGGACATGTGGCAAGTCCTTCCCTATGGAAACCAGAAATTCAGATGGGGAAGAGGATGACTAGCTTGCATCCAATACTTGTCCCAATGGGAAGTAATGATATAATGTACTAGGGCATGCCCAGAATCTGAAATGTCTTCTTGGTTCTGAGTACAGAGATAGCTTTAGGACATCCGTCTGCTGGGACCACACCACTGTCTGTGCAGTCAACAAGCTGAACAAATCTCTGTTGGAGCAGTAAATCCATTTAAATAGCTGCATTTACACATATCTGTGAGTAAATGCCATCCATTTGTTCCATATCTACCTGATAACTCTGAACAGAGAATTTTCCCTGGACTAGCCATAAACGTAGTGTTGTGGTTCATGGACAGATTCAAAAAACACACCATTTCTGAGGACATTTAATATAAGAAGATTGTATTAAAAAGTATTCCCTAAAGTTTTGTATGCAGCTTTAAAGTTGTGTACAGAATTAATTACCTCAGCAATGAAAATCCAGGAGGCTTTTTATTACACAGAAAAACATAAAGAACTGTAATCCCTGTGCAAATATTTATGTACCTTCCTCTGCTATTAATGAATAAAAAACGGCCTTTGCTAAGGAAGGAAAGATACAAACCCTGTGGTGCTTTTCCCAGCATTGTGGAGCACCTTACCTTGCTGTGGTAAACTGTTCCTTTGAAAGAAACAGAACTGTTGCTCTGCTGAGGATCTGCTGTTGTTCTGCTAAATGTCTGCCTGAAAGCATGTACCTGTTCCAAGGCACCCACACACATTCACATTCAAATTATGCCACACATTAGCAATATTTTACAATCTGCAGCATGCAAGCACATAGTATTTTGGGGTCCTTTCAATTTCTCTGTTATTCAGAATACAAAGAAATGTATTTTCTCTGCTCTAATTGTCAGGATTCAAAATTATCAGCAATGTAATGGGCCCTAACTACTGTAACTGCTGGGCCACTTAGAGCCTCATTGGTGGCTGACTGAATAGGCCAGGATTACAGTAAGAGCAGCTGCTGCTGTTATGTCCTTCTATAATGCAACATTTGTACAAAAGCATAGAGACTGGCCGTATTCTTTTCTGACAAATGTGGCAGTGTAATATGCAAACATACACGCAGCCCTCTTTTTTGCTCTGATTGCAGCTTGTTTCTTTCTTTTGTCTAGCGGGTTCTGCAATCTCTGTGGACCAGTAGACTATGCCAAATATCCCCCTAAAGGTCTCAGCTCACCAGGCCTTCAGGAGTCCACAGGTGCCTCTAATTTGTATTCAGTTTCCACCACTGAATTGTAGATATATGCATTTGAATGAAGATCAGCTTGTAGTACAGAAATGGAAACATATTTCCTTTTCTACACTTTGATTTTGGTATGTCTTTTGCAGATTTAAGAAGTTTGATAATAAGTATTTGAAGAAAATTTTAATTCGGGAACACCAGCCCAAATCCAGCCTTGTGTCATTGTACAAAAAGATGGAGATAAAACTGGCCATCGAGATGGCTGAGAGTGGCATGAAAATTTCAAAACCATCCACTACTTCTTTACAGTGAGTACCAGCCTCCTGACCCTTTGCAGAGTAGGGACAGGAGGACAGGGATAAAAATGAGGAAGTACCCAAGGTATTCCATGACTTAATTGAAATGTAGGAAAAAAGAAGACAGTTAAGAAAAGAGAAGGTGCAATTTGGTGTTCATCATAATTGTGCTTTGCTCAGAGAGTGAAAATTAAAATCATGGACATTTCCTGTTTCTTTTCCATGGTGGGCAGTCCTGAAGAGGAATCTTGAGTCACATACAGAAGCCACTCTGGTTGCTTTAAATCACAGTAGTGACTCAAGACAGATGTACTTATCACTTACCTGGCCAGTGGGTTTTGTTAATCCCTGCCAGGTCCCTGCCATCCCTGCAGGAAGGCTTAGCATACAGGTCCTGACTCCATTGTCCCAGTCATGAATTTTTGCTGAGAGCAGATTTCTTTGTAGCACTTGCAATTTTTGCCGCTCCGGTTTGCAATCCCTCAAAACCACTTTGCCATATTTTACTATTTCCAAAACAACAAATTTGTCCAATTAAACATTGAGAGCAGCCTCCCAAGAATGACTGGAGGATACTTGTGGTGAAATGCTGGACATGAACTGTCAATGTACATTCACAGCCCAGAAAGAAAACCATATCCTGCCTCAGAAGCAGCATGGCCAGCAGGCTGGGGGAGTGGATTCTCCCCTGCTACTCCGCCCTTGTGAGACCCTACAGTGCTGTGTCCAGCTCTGGGGTCCTCAGTACAGGGAAGACATGGACCTCTTAGAGTGGGTCCAGAGGAGTGCCACAAAGATGATCAGAAGGCTGAAGCACCTCTCCAAGGACACAGAGAAGGCTCTGGGAACACTTGTTTGCAGCTTTTCAGTACTTAAAGAGGACTTACAAGAAAGAAAGGGACAGACCTTCTAGTAGACTTGTAGCAGTAGGACTAGGAGAAGGTAGTTCAGGCTAGGTACAAGAACTTTTTTATGATGAGGGGGGTGAAACTCTGGAACAGGTTGCTCTGGGAGATGGCAGATGCCTCATCCCTGGAAACATTCAAGGTTGAAATTGATGGGGCTCTGAGCGACCTGACAGAGCTGAGGAGGTCCCTTGGTCATCGTGGGGGGTTTGGAACAAAATGCAAGGCATTCTATGATTCTATCAAACAGTGATGCCGCTTGACATCAGACAGACCAGGGGACAAAACTGGTGGGACCTCCTGAGAGAGCTGAGGGAAAAACCCTCTAAGAAAAATGTTGCACAAATCTTCTGTCCTACATACTATTATTGATATGCATGTGTTTGTCTTTGCTTTGCAATACACTGACCAGAGCACAGGTACTGCTGCAGGCACTTGCCTCCATCATTTCTTTCCTGGGTTCTTGCTGACCACTGTTGTTGCTCTTTCCTGTTGCATCCTTAAACCACTGTCCATTTTGCAGCAGCTCCTGGTAGGGTCTGGCATATTACCTGTTTTGAATGATGATCACTCCCAATAACAGAAAATTCAAATATCAACTGGCTATTAAATTAAAATCTTGCTTGAAACTCCGGCTTAATCATGTCAAGATCAATCTGCTTTCTTGTACTGATGTCAGCACGCAGTGTAAGACCTAGCCCTTTTCTCTCTAAATTATTCTTTGCTGAAAGGATGATATTAAAAAAGACTGCATGTATGTCAGGCTCCTTTCTGTCTGCTGTAATCCCTTAACCATTGTGAGCCAAGAGAAAATGTGCAAGGTTGATAGACAATCCGTGGCAATCAAATCACATCCCTCTTCTTTTCCTGAGGGAATAAGAAAATAAGACAAATTGCTCCAGCATAGTTCAGAAATTTTCTCCTGAGCTGAGAATTTAGATTGAAAAATATTCTTTAATAACCAGCTGATATGATGGACTAATTTTTGCAATCTCTAATCTGGCTATAATTGAATTTTGCTATGCATCATCCTCTGATGAGAAAGCCTTTTTAAAAATGAAGTGTCAACTTCAGAAAAACAGCCTGTGGCTCAAAACCATTATGATCTTGCAGGCTGTGAGAGTGTTCTAGGAAAATACACGTTTCCCCACCTCTGTTCATTGATAAGTGTCTGCTGTTGAGGACTGCAGGAGACAGGATGTTGAGCTAGTTGGTGGACCTTTGGTCTGAGCCAATACAGCAGTTCTTGCTGTCTTTCCCCACAGCGATTAAAAGAACCAGTGTAAAAGGTCTCTAAATGTATTTATAAAATCGATGATTGCTTTCATTGATTCAGCATGTTCCTAAAGTCCCTGTCTTCAGTGAAGGTACAAAACTCTGGCCATGAACAAGAGGAGATTTGAAATGAAATTCCAATGTATGACATGTAAATCATTATTAGCAGCGCCAGAGTAGTGAGAAAACTCCTGCTCACACTTCTGATCAGTTTTTTCAGCCTTTATGCATGCAAGGATATTTACTTTATAAGAATCAAAGCAGATCTCCAATGCTGTGAATTAGAGAATTGCATTCATGCTGGTGTGATTCCTGCAGGTGGAGTGGGTGTCCAATTTACAGTAAGTATTTTCAGTGTGGAGTGAGAAAATTTGCCCATGGATTGTGCAACAAAGAATACACAGTAGAATAAAAGCAGAGCATTTGGTTCTGACACTTTGGAGAATATAAGCTGATAAATAAGGATGGAGATGGCAAAAATGGAATCTAGGAGATATTATCAGAACTGTGGGTTTATGGCTGGTTTTGGTAGGAAATATAACTATTAGAGAGAACCATGGTTTGGTACTGAGTTTACTTAATGCTGGCTTCATATTGCTGGAATATTGACTTTGATAAATCTTAGAATGTATCAATACAGTACAGATCAGAACTAACTGTTGTGTTGTCATTTGTGGTGGTACAGTTAAGAGAAAGTTGTGTCCCAAAATTATTATTCATTCACAGGACGAGTAAAGATTAATGGAGAGTTTACAAAGTTCAAAATTTTAGATGTAATATAAAAAAAATTACACAGATTGTGCAAGTATCAATGTATCAAATATCAAGTATCTCCATATCTAAGGAAGAAAGAAATAATGTCATGGCAGTCATTACAGAGAGACAGTTTTCATGGCATATTATAACTTTTTTTCTTCATACATATGTATCTTGTGCTATTCTTTGTTGTAACATATTGGAAGATTCAATAAGAAAAAAGAAATAGTTTCAATAAGGATTACTTTATGGGTTTGGTAACATACTGTACATGTTTGAAAGCCCTTTCTTAAGGTAATGCAAAATGTAAAAGCAATCTTTTCCTTATTACCATATATGTGCATTGTTATCAGTTGGGCAGGTTAATTTCCAATCCCATGAAAAGAATGACGGTTTTTTATTTGTGCTCCAGAACAATATGGATTATCTTCATGCTATTTTTTCTATTGCTACCCCAGCTCAACTGAGACTCAAGAAGTTTTATTTACTCTACTTAATTCACTTTAAGAGCAAAATAATAAGATTTGAAATTACGTAGAACAGGATACTTCTGTGCTGGCATGTGGAGAAAGATGGGTATGCAGCAGGAAAAGTAGAGATAATCTGATAATCTCCCCTGTGGAGTCAAGATTTTCCCTGTTTAGATGCTTTTCCCTGTTTATTCCCAACTGTAAATTATAAAGACCCTGTGGACACATTCAGTGGAGCGCAGAGCAGGGAGGCAGCTCTTCCCTGTGATGTCAAAGCCACCTGCAGCAACTACTCCAGTTTCATTTGCATTACACAAATGAGCCAAGCCTGTGTTTTAGAGACCAATACTTCTTGACAGTCCCCAGGGCTTGTGCTTGTGTATATTTCCCAGGTGTACCTAGGGTCTCCCTGTTGTCCAAAGGGACATCAGACAGGGGCTGCTGACAGCAAGGAGTCTGGTTTCCCTGTGTGGAGGGGAGCATGCACAGGCTGTGCCCCAGACTGAGACACACCACAACCAGTAGGGAGTAAAGGCGTAGTGCACTCAAGCCTGAAAATTGGTGGCATCCCCAGATCCTCTCAGTGTATCTCTGAGAACTGAAAGCAAGTGAAAAAGGAACCAACCAACCAATGCACCCACCCATTCAGCCTGGAACTGGGTGATGGTGAAAGTCTTTTTTTCCCTAATGGGAAATAACTAACTTTGTTGTTATTGCAATTGATGAATGTCAATTAAACATTTGATGGGAAGGATTTATCAGGGACAAGATAAGATTTCTGGTCAAATCCAGAAAGGCAGCCCTTTTCTGTCACACTGACTTGCCAGCATCTCAGTGGCAGACTCATGGGTCACTCATGCTTCAGTGAGGTCCTTAACCTGCTGCTTATCCCAGTCCTAGCTCTAATACTACACCTTAACCTGTTGTTAATTTCCCTCTTCGTTTTTATTTCACAGAAAAAAATCAGGTCTCTGTTTTAGTCTGATGGCAGAATGAAAACACTTTCAAAATCTTGAAATATATAAAAAATTAATTCTTCTATTCCAGGGGCTTTGCACAGGGGCCAGGGCCCCAGAGATCACTGTCTACTTCATAGTAAGAGGCAGTAAAATATAGAATGCAGGCAGTTCATGTTGGTCCTACAAATTTTCAAAATGTTCATGGTAGATTATAGAACAAAATAGTAGTAATATTGTTAAACTAGATGAAATTGTAAATTCCAGCCTTTTTCCTATGCTTACATAGTAATCACAGTTTAGCTTGAATCCATTGTCCTTTGCCATTAAAATTTTAAAATTTATTTTAGAGGAAGTGTGAGATAGATGCACACAAAACTCTGGCAATACTGTACAGACAACATTTTAACAACATCACCTAGCTGAAAAACACCACTTGCAATCACTTTTTTTTTGGTTTTTTTTTAAGAGGCAAGAAAACAAAATGGAGAAAGGAAAAATTCAGAAACAAGACAGACTGATTCATCCCGGATGATCGCTATCTATTTTTCCTTTCTTTTCCTGGGAATTCACCTGAACACTAACTCTCACAGTGATTGACTGATGTAGTGAAACCCGATAACATTTCACAGCAGCCCTCCTCCACTGTTTTGCTAGTGAAAAAGCCAGGCAGTTACAAGTGACTGTGGGCTTGTCAAAGTTTTTTAAAGACACGAAGATTACTATCTTTGGAGAAACAGGTTCAGTAGCAAGGAAACTCTATATGTTCTCCTCACCACAGGGCAGGTCTCTCAGACTTCATAATTAATATACTCTTAGGATTTTCTTCACTTTCTCAAAGGAGCAAAAACCAGTAAGACGGCAAGGCCCAGACTGCTGGACCATGCTGAGGTTTTTGTTCAGACAGAGGAAGAAACTTGCAGCGTTTTCCTGAGCTGGTTATGGCCTAGTCTAATCCTTAAATAGGAACTTCCTTCTGAAGGTTTAAGAAAGCAGCGTTTCTGCTGCCAGCTGTATGAGGGGTTAGGGCCCAATCTGACTACCCACTATATGGATAAAACCAATAAAAGAGCAAAATTTAACCTTTTTTTATTCATCTTTGGATGATTTGCAGGTGTTGCTGATCACTGAGAGGACCTACATAGCCTTCTGTTCTAGCACTAAAAATAGTCCATGCATTATTTAATGGGATTAGTATTTAATCAGCTCATTAATAACATATTTAATTTCCCCTTTTATTTACAGGAGCGGCAAGAAGCAGCGTGCACACAGGCTGTCCCCGGCAGAGGTGGAGGCCATGCGGGACGTCCTGGCACACAACCTGTACCAAGTGCGGCAAAGGGTGCGTGAGCCGAGCCGA